TGTCGTGGCCACCAGCTGGCACTCATCTAGTGCCCACAGGTGAAGTAGAACCCTGGACGGTGAACGTGGAACCACCTACGGCCTCGGAGGTTTACGAGCCGGCGAGCTCCTGATCCGAATGACCCCCCACCCTGTTCAAGGACGGGGGTGATGTCCTCAGGCAGCGCTTGTCCAATCTGTTTCCTTGCATTTGGGAAACGGAGTCTGTCCCGGACAACTTGGGAGATTCGGCGATAGTGCCCGTCTCCAAAAAACGGGGGCGCGTAGTGTGGTAACCAAAAGAACCGTTCAGCTGTAGCACCCTTTCGATGCCTAGCTGCCATGACACCCGAAGGAAGCGCGACGGATGGGATACTGCCAGGTTGCCCAAGCCTAGACAGGAGAAGTCAAGAGGCAGAGGTCGGATTCGAACCACGGACCTTCCGGTCAGTAAATTCGCGCTCTAACCAATTGGGCCATCTCGCCCTGTGTGGTAACCGCAGGGAGGTTAGCTCGACACCGGTCGTAACGAGACTGTTGGCCTCAATTTTGCTTCATCGCCTTACGTGGCTCGTGAGATACTGACTCGAGAGCAGCAAGCGGGATTCCGGCCTGGTAGGGGTTGTGTTGACCAAATCTTCACACTGCGTCAGGTACTAGAACAACGCCATACGTATAAGCGACCCACGATTCTAGTATTCCTGGATTTCCGAGGCGCATTCGACTCGGTTGATCGGTCTGTTCTTCTTGAGACGCGATGAAATAATGAGATGAACGTTGGACGGTCTCCAAAACCCTGGTATTCAAATAGCCTGTGAAGAAAACCTTGTCGATCTGGAATATGCAGACGATATCGTTCTCATGTTCGAAGAGGTGGAGAAGGCGCAAGTATTCTTGGATGGAGTGACCAAAGTCATCCCGTCCTTTGGTATGCACTTTGCACCTACAAAGTGTAAGGTCATGCTTGTGGACGTGCAGTCACTGAACACGCAACTTACAATCCAGGGAGAGGTACTGGAAGTTGTGGAGCGTTTTACGTATCTTGGAAGTTGTATTGGTTCTGATTGTAGTGTGACAGATGAGGTGAATGCACGAATCTGCAAGGCTGCTGTCGCGTTTGCTAATTTGAGACACCTATGGCGTCAAAACGACGCCTCGCTTAAGCTCAAGGAACGTATCAGGCTACAGCACGCGCTGTTTGTTATATGGCCGTGAGACTTGGCCTGTTCGATCAGCAGAACTGATAAGTCTTCAGGTTTTCCACAACCGTTTTCCCAGAACCATGGATAGTATACGCCGGTGTCAGCAAACGAGGCAATTAGGAAATGAGTGTTCGAATCGGAGAATGTCAGCAACCAGAAGCCGCGGTGGTTTACGCCATGTATTGCACATGGCAAAACGTCACTCACCGAGGAAAGTGCTGTTCTCCGTGCTCAATTCAGAGTGACACACTCATAGAGGTGATCAACCTTTGATCTCACAGAGAGATATGAAAGCGATTGCGAAAGATGTGCTTTTTCGGTGCTTTCTTTCGAGAACCCGCCAGTTAATGCAAAGCATTCAGTTAAGTTGCATCCTGCACTTTAAAAAAGTGACGAGTCCGTTGTGGCTAGGCGGATGAAAGTACTCCAAAATATATGGAATAGAGAAAGGACACTGATGGAATTAAGAGCCTCGGCGATGAGTTCCATATTTGAAAAAAGGTGAAACAACGTCATAAGAAAGCCAACGAGATATCAGCCTAGCGACCACAGCTTCGGATGTGTGCTACGGTGTTACGCTGTACAGGTTGATCCATCAACTGGAGAGTCAGGTTTACGATAATCAAGCTTG